AATAGATGTGAAGACAGAAAATGTTTTGGAAAAGGTAAGAGGTTGAAAAGTCAGAACCTTCAACATAAATCTAATGAAATACATTACATAAGCACAACAAAAGAAGCTGTGCTTATGTAACTACTCATGGCTAGGACATGGGTGCCTGGCTTATGTTTTTCATTTTTAAAAGCCCATGTAATAAGATATTTCGTATTCTGGCTTTTCTATTCTGGGTAAAAAGGAAACTGAAAGAAAATTATCTCCTCTGCCCCCACCCAGGTCCACATAGGCAGCTAAAGGGCAATAAAGAAACTTCCATTTCAGAACACTCCTATAGATATACCCTCCTTGACCAAAATGCCACAGGGCAGGCAAAGATTTCTAAACCGATTATTGAGAAGCTTCTGAGCCTATTAATTCAAGACTACTGTTTCTGGAATTTAGCTTAGTCCCTTGGAGAAAAGTTTGGTCAGTTGAAAACAAAAACATAGATAAAGGAAATTGTAAGACTCACTGGTCCAACGGCTGTAATATTGCACCAGCACTTTCTGCAAACCTGTTATCACTGTACTAGTGATCTTAGAAATCTGTGAATCTCTGCCATTTCCAAAGCTGATCATAATATCATGTTCACACATGGGAACCAGGCTATTCTTCTTCTCCTGGCTCATGTGCCCCAACTGACCACAGCATGTTTTTAGTGCCAGGAGGGCTGTTCTTACACTTGTTACTTTTGGATTTCCTTCTTTAGAATCCACTCAGTAAAAACAAAAGTAGGCGGAGGAGGAGGGAACCATGCAATTTACTACAGCAAGTTACAGCCAGCATCTGTTTAGTGTGTGCTTCCTACCTCTTGAGAAAATGGCCATCCAATACAACTCCACACATAGCTATTTTTTCACATGGTCCTATCACCCAAAACCATGCATGTGCCTCCACTTCAGCACACAGATCACCCATCACACACACACCCAAGATGAAAGAAAAGGAGACCTGCCTAAGAAAGCCAGTCACACTGACACTTGCTTTATTTACACTCCCAATGGTGCAGCTGGGGGTAAAAAATACAAAGTCAGCCTGTGGAAATGTACATAGTCTCAAAATATCTGCCCACCAAGCACTTAGTAATTAGGAAGGGGAAAACAGTCCTTGTAAAGTAGAGAAAACTGGCAGACACCACCATAACCCAGTGACCGAAGTGAAGATCATGAATGACAACACAAATCAGCATCGGGCTCCTCCCTATCGGTTGCACTGAGAACACTGCCCTTCCCTGGTGTTCTTGTTAAACCTCGTCAGCAAATTGGACAGTCTACAAAACAACTGGCCTGTACTCTTCAAAGTCCTAGCTCATGTCAGAAAAAAATGGAAACAGAAGGAAGTAGGACAGAGTATACAAAGGGGACTTAAGCAAACTGAAAACTAAATGTGATCCTGGCGCAGAAAAGAAACAATTGGCAAAATTTGAATAAAATCTGTTGATTAGAAAACAATAGTGAATTGATGTTAATATCCAGATTTTTGCCAGAATGTTAACTGTGGTACTTCTGGTTATGTAAAGAAATGTCCTTGGATTTAGTAAGTATACAGTGAAATATTTACAGTTAAAGGGCCACCGTGTCTATAATTTGCTTCCAAAGTTTCAGAAAAAACACACATATACATATATATATATATGCATGTGTGTGTGCATAGATGGAAGAGAGAGAATATGAGTATGTAAGTACGGAAAAATTTAAATGTTTACATTTGGAGAATCTTGGAAGCGCATATAGAAATTCTTTATAACATTTTTGCAATTAAAAAGTTTTTCAGAATTAAAACGGAAAAATAACTAAATGGGTCTGAGCTTTTTGAGGAAGGAGCTGGAGAAGGAATGGAATGAACCCCATCTCCTCTGCTCCCTCATCCCCAACAGTGGGAAGCATTATATTGCCCTGGGTTTCCCTAGAAGCTACTGTGGGAAACCCTGCAGTGAGCTCCCTGAGGGTACCACTATATCCTCAAATGTCCAGAGTCTAGTGCAGGGTCTGACATATACAAGATATGGACAACGAATGAATGAACTTAAAGAAATAGCTGAAAGAAATTGTGGGCAAACCCTAATCTATGGTACTGTATCGGCAAAGTTGGTAGCCCTGTGGCCTCTTGCATAAATGGCTGGGTGTGAATGAAGGGCAGGAGGCATCAGAATGAAGAGTAAGATGCGGTTCTTCCCTGGGGTGTTCCCTTTGATTGAGGAGGCAGGGGAACTGAGCATGTCCTCTAGGACTGGCCTGAAATGACCTGCTCCTTTGGACTGGCTGAGGGAGGGCATACATCCCAGGCACTACGTGTCCCAGCATCCAAGGTCTCTGTTGGATCCCGCATAAGCTATTTAATGCACTGAGATAAGAAGAAATGTAGAACAAGATCCCCCAAGATAACATTAGGGATTGAATAGCTCCATATTCGGTAAATCCTTCATCATGAACACAATATCTGGTTACATTCTGTTCTTCCTTCCCAAACCAAGCAGTGCTTGGTGTTTCAAATTCATATTGACTATGCACATGAGGTCTGAAATTGGAATCATTTTAATTACTAAAGTTCTAGAAAGTTTCAGAAAAGTTACTTAACAGAGAAAAAACAGGGTGTTGCTTTGAAAACTCAGCTAATTCAGGAACATCATAACAGATTGCTTTACAAAAAAGCATTTAATTGTGAGTAGAGATGAAGGGGGAAACAATTACAATTCACAGACCACCAGAGTGTAAGTATTTGGGCAAGTTCCTATAACCCACAGAAAATTGGGATCTATGATAAATGGGCTTTTTCTACCACCACCAAGATATGATTTCACAATCATGAATACGGTGTGATAATATTCCAGAAAAAAAATTTAAACACGGCGAACCATGGTATATAACAGAGGGCAGGACTGCAAACTGCAAACTTAATTTACATATTAATTCAAATAGGGACCTCTTTGCTTTAATAAAGGAATACAATTTTCAAGGAATGTCTAGGTGGGATTGCTACGCTCACTGGTCAGGGCTTGTTCACCAATTTATTTGAAAATAAGCTCATATGACAAACCCCAATCCTAATGGGGGGAGGGGGGAGGAAATCCCTTCCTATCTAATCTAATAATAGACAAACATGGTAATTGCCCGTACCTTCGCTACACCTCCCATTGGCTAATCAGTGCGATATGCAAATTAACTGCCAACAAAGATGGCAGCTAATTTGCATACTGCAGGCAGGGCGGGCCAGCGCGAGCTGCCATCCGGGCCCCCGTGTGCCACCTAAGCTCTGCCCCCAGCTGGGACCCCCATGTGCGGCCCTGGGTGGAGAGGCTTGGCGGAGTGAATGTGCCACCTAAGCCCCGCCCCCAGCCGGACCCTGTGTGCCTTCTCATACCAGCACTGCCTTAGCCCTGCCCCTTTCCAGGACACCCTGATGATTAGAGAGCAGGAATGTGCCACCCACAGGGAGCATCCAGCAGAGCGTGACCCCAGGTGCCCTGGTGATCCAGCAGGCAGCACCCCATGTTGGCCACAGCTCAAGGGAGAGTACAACACACAGTGGAGGCCAGGATCCTGAGAGATCAAAAGAGAGGGGCGCCTGCTCCAAGCTTCCACCGTGTGGTTTGGAGCAGGCCCCCAGCAGAGACAGACAGACACACACACACACACACACACACACACACACACACAGCCTACCCTGAGCCTCTAATATTGCTGGAGGCAGACCCCCAGAGGGGACACACACATACACACACACATACACACACGGCAACTGCTCCAAGCCTATGTGGCGCAGCTGGGGGCAGGCCCCAGCAGACACACACACACACACACACACACACACACACACACACGATATGCAAATTAACTGCCAACAAAGATGGCGGCTAATTTGCATACTGCAGTCAGGGTGGGCCAACACGAGCCACCATCAGGGCCCCTGTGTGCTGCCTAAGCCCTGCCCCCCACTGGGACCCCGTGTGGGGCCCTGGGCGGGCGGGACCCCTGTGTGTGGCCCTGGGTGGAGGGGCTTGGCAGCGCGATCGGCCCGAGGAAGCCCTATTCTTGCAGGAATCCTCCTGCAATGGGCTTCTAGTTCAGTAATAATAAAGTGAGCCCACAGAGGAACGGGGACAGGTTGGTACAGCCACTCTCTCTTCCTCTTTACTGGCCACATCTGGGGGGCCAAAGAGTTCTCTGTCAGAGTCCATCCATTCCTCTAACTTAATAAGGACAGATACTCAACTCACCTCAAAGTTTTTGTTGCCAGTTACTAGTTTAATTCTCCCTGATACCCTTCAGCTTCCTATTGCCCAGGTGAAAGCTGTTCCACTTCTCTAAAATGGAGGGGGAGGACCTGGACATGTCTTCTCTCCTTCTGGGTTCTCCCAGGAACATGCTGACTGTAAAACCCATAAGGACTCGGACTAAAGATATATAAGAAAGCATGTAAGAAAGACACCTGCTGAGCCCCCAAGAGCAGGAGGCAGCTCCTTCCCTGCTGTGCTCCGCATCCCTCTTGTCCCAGACATGGTCTAGTCCTTGGGATGCCAATGGCATGGCTCTACCAATGCCAGCTGAGACTGTGAGGATTCATGGTGACCCAAGGGCTCATCTAAGGATTTGAGAAGAGACCCCTCCACAGAGTTCAGACAGAGCTTCAGATCTGTTATGTAAATAGGTAAGATAGTGTGTGGTATTCTTAATACTTCATACTTCTCAATCAATGTCTATCTCTCCCCCCACACATTTATTCTCATTTCTCCTTGAGAACCCATACTTCTGATTCTCTTGGGCTGTTCCACAACTGGAATAATAGTGGCACTGCGGGAAAAAGCAAGCCGTCGTCTATTTTTGTCTGAAGAGGAAACAAAGACACTGGACCAAAGGAGAGGATGACAGCTCTCGACATTTGAGCCTTCGTGCTGGTCATCAGCTCCTAGTATGATATTACCAATGAAAAATGCAGTAGCTTTGCCTGTTGGTCCCCACCCAACTGGTTCTTCTTACCTTTGGTTCCATCGAAATGAAACTGTGGGTTCCTCTGCTCGAGAGAACTGACCTTTTAATCGTCCTGCTATGGTAGAAGTGGTAATAGTCCTTCAGGGCCCCGATCTGCAAAGACAGTGGGGAAAGAACAAAAGAAAGAGAGTCAGTGTATGAAGTCCTCTGTTTTCCTGTTTTTCATTCAAATAAGAACACAACCCAAAAAAAGGTCCATCAATTATGCAGTTGCCTGCTCTGCTTCAATGTTACTTGAACCTTGGTGATCACCTTTCAGAAGGACATGTGATATGAAGTGGAGTGTCCTTGAGGCAGTGACTGCGGAACTAAAGATTATAATGGGGCAGCTTAGCCTCTCCCTATCTCCCTCTTAATGTTTAATTTATATGCAGCATTTTAAGTAATTCTACATCAATCTATATCCAAATGTGGGAAAGAGAAAAAGTCCAATAGCTATCTGGTTATAAAAACACACGGCATTCTGTTTGCTCTGAGAAATGTACAATGAAGGACCTTGTTAGATTATTTATATCATTAATTTGAAACAAGTCCTAAGCAGTTGATCATTCACAAAGAAAACACTACTTCGTTTGTTTCCTGACTTCAGTAGACAGCAGTTTTTCATTTACTGCAAAACTAAAAGTTGAATGGCAATTTCTTAAACAAAACAAAGATCATATATCGTACCAATCAACCAAGTTTCCTGTGTAAAAATAGTTCAATCCACTTGATCTCAACCATTTCTTTAACAAATTAGTCTTCTTATCTGTGCACCCCCTTCTTTAGTTAAAAACAGTTAGTTCTGTTTAGGATAGCTTTCAGAGTTAAGTCCCAGTCCACTTTAGAAAAACAAATGAGCGAAATCTCAAACAATCATATTCTCTTGGCAGATTGTAAAATGTGGATCACATAATGGAAATTGAACGAGTACAACAAATGCAGGCAGGAGACCTGGGTTCTAGGTCCAGCTGATACTCGCCAGAGGTGGCTTCTTGGCTAAATCACATATACTTAGTGAGTCTCAAGTTTTCATTTCTATAACACTGGACTTTGGGCTGGTTCATTTCTAAGATCACTGCAGCTCTCAAAATCCCTTCTTTGACACTGACACTTTCCTTGCTTTGGGCAAATACATTAAGTGGCTCTTTCTCCAGAACATCATGGCTTTGCCCTAAAAGAATGACCAGGATGTTTCTAATTGGGACAATTCAAAAGTGGGGCTTTCTTCATTGAAAAAAGGAAAAAAGTCATTGGTCCAGCTTAATTTTTCGTATTCCCATCTTTATTTCTTATTCCCATCTTTCCATCACATTCTTAGTCCACCCACCCCTTTACTATAAGGATGATCAACCTAATTTCTATGCCATTTAAGAGCCATCTCCTCACTGGGACTTTATGCACTAATTGAAGGTCCCTAGTCCTCATTAATTTTGAAGGTCTGAAGCCTCCCATTTTTTCTTCAAGTGGATACTGCCCAGATGTACACAGAAAAGATCCTGGGCTCTGAAAACAAATATGAACCAAAGACAAGGAAATCCCAGCTGAAGCCTCTGATCTTGGTGATCCTGGGCTCTGAACCAGCAGCAACAAGGAGGAAGCGATGCCAGCCCTCATCTCCAGGTGTTTCCAGGAGGGATTCAGAGGCCAACATTAAGATTCCAGAGGACTAAGGGAAGCGTGCAATGAGGGCACGTAATACTTCATAAGAAAATCTTGAAATCCCAAGAAGCTTAGAGTTTTCACCGCACGTAGCTTTTGTCAAGAGTGCTCCGTGGGAAAATACAGTAGTTCTTGTGGAAAGGAACTTAGACTCGCTGAGGAAGAGCCTTACACAAAACCTACCACCAGCGAGAAAATTGCCAGTGTGTTGAATTTCTACTCAAGTATCATGGAACCTCTCTGATTATAGCAAATGAATGAATTCAATGTAACTATTAAGCGTGAACTACGGATGAAATATACCCCAAAGATATATTCAAATCCTTTGTGGCCTCGTTGGTACAAACTGGAATCCTAATGTCATGTGTAGGATGGTAGAAGACAGAACCCTTGTCCTGACTTAAGTTGCCCTGGGAGCTTGGTTACATCACTTAATCTCTTTGGGCCACGGTTTCCTCCAATGTAAAACAAGGACACAGGAGGTGTAGTGGATACAGACCGGGTGTCAGAGTCAAAGAGGGGATAATAATGTTCATGGGTTCTCGTAGTTACAAGGACTGAATGTAGTAACAGGTGAACTGCCTGGTCAAGTCGTTGCCTGGAACAGAGTAAATGAGAGGAGGTTATATTGTCCTACTCTGTCCGCAAGGGCCTGCATGATCTGGCCCAGCCTCCCTTTCTAACCTCCCCTCAAATCATACCAGTTCCCAAAGCTCTGGACTCTGCCACACTTGCCTTTCTCAGTTCCTGGACTTGTCATGCCAGCTGCTTCCTCTACCTACAGAACCCTCTCCGCCTCGCTTCCTCTTCAGCATCCTTTATGTCTCACCTCAAGTAGGAAGTCTTCAAAACTCCCCAGACCGGGTCAGGTCCCTTTATTGTATCATCTCACAGATCACAGTAGTTACACAGTGATTGGCACAATTACTTATTTCATGTCTGTGTCCCCAACTGCACACTCCGGTGAGGCAGGGACTCATCTGTTTTGTTTACCATTTTGTTCCCAGCTCCTAATTCATGGCTTGATCCACAGTAGGTTCAGAAAAAAAAAGATCGCTGAATGAATGACATGAAAATCAGACTCCTTGAATTGCTAAAACTGCATACATGAGAGCTGTGTGAGATTCAAAATCTCTGGTATGAGTTTCACAGAACTCAGGTTAACTTTGGCAAAAATGGTTGATTTCTGCCCTAACTGAAGTACCAACTCTTCCAGGCTTATTGTTCTGAAGGTTTTAGGTTGAGACATCTCTATGCTTTTGCTTTCTTTCTTCCTTTCTTTCCCCCCCCAAGACAATAGCTAAGGAATAGTGTGCATTAGTTCAATTATCCTATCTCATCCAAACAAAATAATCTGTCACCTCCCAGGATTTTATATATATTTGAAAGCATGTTTATGTCTCTCGTCTATTAATATGTATGTCCCTTATTGGCAAGAATTGTATCTTTGATATTCTTTCAACAGCACTGAGCATGCTGAGGGCATTTAATAAACATTAAGAAGAAAAATGTCATAACGGGTTGCAAGTTACTCAAAAGAAAGGCAGTGTGTGAAAACGAAGCAGCAATATTATCTATAAGAAAGCATTCCATCTAGCTCCTCCGGGATCATGTAAAACAAAAAGATGACTGTGTTTTTATGTTATGCAATAGCAACGAGGACTAGAACAAGAAGCAATATATTTAACTAACTTAGGGATATTTTATAAATAAATCAGGAACCATAGGAATATATGAAGTATCAAATCAATAGCAGATAAATCAAAGCTCAACCTTTTCCCTAACACCACATAAAGGAAGGAGAATAATTCCTTCTCTCTTGGCCCTCTTTAGCTCCTCTTCTGTACAACGACACGCAGACCCTCTTATCTGCCTCGCAACACAGCTCTATTCACAACACTAAGTTGATGAATTTCATCTTTCATTCCCAATCCTGTAAAGTTTTTATGCTATTTCTTCTTTAGTGGTAGTCCCTCAGCCTTGTACCCACACTTTTCACTACCCTTTCTCAAACCAAATCATGTTCTTAGGTGAGACTTTTTAATAAGCTATTTTAGACTTAAGGTGTAAATGACTGATAAGACTCAATGTCTTAGTCCTTCCAGAGACAACTACAGTTGATCAGAAAACTAAAACTTCAGCCAAATGAATGAGTCTATGGTGCATGTAATTTCAAAAAACAATCACTGGAGGGTTTTGGTTTTCTTTTCCGGCAGCAGAAGGGAAGCTTTCCCATGTCCCTAAATGCTTGTCTTAAAAGCAAGCTACTGACTTCTGAGCAGAGGGCGAGGAGCCAGAAGATCCGCATTTTGCACTGGCTTTGCCCCTGACAAGGAGCCATGTGGCTTTTCAGAATTCATTCACCACCAACAGTCTCTCCTGTGCTTGCAGTTAAAACCATCACCAGTCTAATGACTCCAGGCATAAACCCACATATAGTTCTATAAGGTGACCAACCGTGCCAGTGTGCCCAGGAATGAGGTGTTCTCAGAGATACGGGACTTGTCATTGCTTTAATTGGGGCAGTCCCAGGCAAACTGGGACATCTAATCACCTGGTAATAAAGTGCCAAGGTCATGGGCACTCTGGACACCTCGACGAACCTGTCAGTTTTCTCCCGCTGCTTGTCTGCCCTGTGTTCCCTCTTACCCTCTCCAATGTAAAGTTGTCTCCAAATTCTTACTCCTTTTTAAAAAGTTATTTACATCCAACCTACAACCATTTTTTAAAATGGACAAAAATCTAAATGAACATCTTACAAAAAAAGATATACAGATGGCCAATAAGCACATGAAAAGACACTCAAATGCAAACTAAAATCAGAATTGCATTATATACGCCAGAATGCCTAAATTTAAAAGACTCACAGTAGCAAGTTCTAATGAGATTGTGGCGCATCGGGGCTCCCGTACTTTGCTAGTGGGAGTGTAAAATGGTCTGACGCCTTTGGGAAATCATTTGGTGATTTTTTAGGAAGCACGCCATTCTCCTCAGGACCCAGACATTTCATTTCAAAGTATTCACCTCAAAGAAATGAAAACCTATTTCCAAACAAAAACTCAGATGCAAATATTTATAGCAGCTTCCTTAATAGCAGCCCAAACTAGAAACAGTGCAAATGTCCATCAACAGGTAAATGCATAAATAATGGCATATCCATGTAATTGAATGCCCAGCAATAAAAAGGGACAAACTACTGATATATATCTACGGATACACACACACACACACACACACACACACACACACACACATATATATATGATGAATAAATTTCAAATATCATTCTAACACACAAAAAAAGTTCATACTGTCTGCCATGGCTGGTGTTGCTCAATGGTTATAGCATCAGCCCGTTCACTGAAAGGCCATGGTTTGTTTTTTGTTGTTACTGTTTTTTTCCTAGGGGCCATGGTTTGATTCTCAGTCAAGGGCATGTACCTGGATTGTAG